GAGTGTCCTCAATGTGTGTATCTGACCTGTAGGACGAGGGCCTCCCCTTGTGTTGGCTGTGGAAACTACAAATGAGGAGGAAACCGTTGTTCAACCATTCACTTCTTTATTTCTGAATCATATTAGATTTAGGTAACATGAACCTTCTTTATATTGCATGTTGTGATTTATAATTATGTTTGGCAAACTGCGAGAAAAGTCTAATAGTACGTCACTGTAACATTTCTGGCAAAATTCCACAAAGCATAGGTGGATGAGGATCTCTGCCTGACAGCTTACTTTTTCATGCATGTCTGTTACACTTTTTCTATAAGAGCACTGTAATACACCTAGCAGTTATGTCTCTTATACAGTACCTGTTCAATTGGTATATGGTTTATATTTAAATGCAATTTTGATTCAGCTTTCAATTTAGGATTTTATCCTATTTTTAAAGAGGGAGCCAACAGATTTGGTTTTTCCAACAAGTAATAACTTGTTACCCAAGTCCCTATTAAGAAAGTAACTCAGCTTTCTGTTGATGGCACTGCTGCATATATTGTCGAATCATTGGCATACATTACAATTGTGGCCTACTAATGGGAAGTCATTTATGTATACAGAAAACAAAAGCGGTAACAAACAACTACCTTGAGGTACAGGTACTCCACATGCAATTTTCCTAATCTTTGACAAACTTCCATTTAAGAAAATAGTTTGCCTTGGATGTTTCATGTAACTTTCTTTACCCCTTAGTGCATTCAAAGTAAAACCATATTGTTCCAGCTTGTGTAACAACAAAGAATGATTAATAACACCAAAAGCAGAACTAAAATCTAATAATACTGCACCCACTAACTTCCTATTGTCTTGTTCACTTTTCGAGTCATCCTTCATTTGCGTCATAGCGTTGCATGTAGAAAGGCAAGGTCTGCAATGTAGAAAATGAGTGTTCAGGTTATTACCATGAAAGTAAGTTTGTATTTGATTACCTTTCCTAATGCTGAAAACAAACTTAAAGGGCGACTACAAAAAATTGGGCATTATTTAACAATGTTCCTATTATTGACATACCAGAACTAAGAACGTATTACCCAGCACACAAAACAGGAAACGACTTATTTTCACACATGGTCATTTGTTGCTTTAAAAAATATTCAGTACAATCATCTGTTCTTTTTTTCAGAATGTGTTAAGTGTATTGGTTGAAGAAATGACAACTGAATCAATGAATTGTCCAAAGAGTTGTTAGAGAAATAGTCAACTTCTCTCAGTTAGTCAATAGGTCTAGCACTCTAGCTAAACGTTTTGTTAAATATTATAGCAAAATGTACTTAGACACATTCATTGCAAGCCTGCACCATCTCCACAGACGGTGCAACTTTGAATCTTTTCTATGCCAAAGATGCTTTTTGCTTCAAATTCTTTCAATGGTGCGTTAATAGCCTATTAAGTATTAACCCATGTGAAAGCAAATCTGTAGTAAATGTAGTCCTCAATAGCCCTCAATGTTCTCACAATGCACTTCTGTGAAAGATAAATAGGAACATTTACCCCAAAAAGCTGCCAGATTTGATGTTGTACAGTATGTTAAGTATTTCTTCATTAGGAATTTTAATGTCATGGTTTCGTCTTTTGCCGTCATAAATACGACTTTTTATCCCCAAATTTGTTACCATGATTTTGCATTTCTTTGCATTGACTTTTTATCTAAAAATAATAACTTTATATCTTATAATTTCGACTTTTCTATCTCATAGTCATGACCTTTCCATGGGTATTACTTCCCATACGAACGGAAGCAAATAGCCTCATACACCCCAGGGTTGCCAACTTTGGGTACCTGGCTGGAGTGAGATTTTGATATCATGGGTTTAATTCAGTTTAATTACACATATGCGCACGAAATGACTGCTATCGTGTCAGCAGCGGGACCTTAGCATATAGGATATATATATACAATATATACAAATACACAATAATGGACACAGACTATAAAGGGCACACAGTTTCATTCACTAATGAAAGTCAAACATGTTTGTTTCCACTGTTTTATTGTGTGCCTGTCGCGATAAACAATTAATTGACTTATCGTACGATAAATAATAATGAACTCCATAACTTTTCTGACCTTGATAAATTGCCATTTACATGAGGATGTGACTAGCAGTTTGAAAGGATGTACTTGAATTATTATTATATATTATCATTATGTCAGTGGTCTAAAATGGTCATACAACGGTGCCGACAATATTATCGTTTATCGCCTAATAGAACAATAAGCAGCAGACTTTTACTTTTTTATCATTTCTACTGGATCTTAGATCTGCGCATGCGCAATACGGGTCGGCAGTTGCGGCTCCAGAGTATTTTTGTTGCGTAATCTATGGTAGGGCTAACCATAGACTGTATATAGGGGCTAACCAGTGGCGGCCGGTCCATAGGGGCGCTAGGGGCGCCGCCCCACCTCTTCCCATATTGAAAAAAAAAAAAAATAATAATAATTAAAATTAAAATAAAAAAAAAAATATATGTTTAAAAAAATATATATGTTTTTATTTTTATTTTTAATGAACAAGGTAAATATTATATAATTGGTATCAGTAAAATGTATAATCTACAATAAAATCTCGTTTAAAATTGTGTTACGATGTCTAAAGTTACTGATAAGTCACATGTTTCCTGCCTGGCCTTGCCCGTGTACCTTCTCTCGTCTGGGCGCTAAGAGAGGAGCCTTCAACCAGTGCAGCAGCAGCCACCAGCAGCTGACTGTTGCTATCTGTAACGTGTAAACTATGCCGCGAAAATATAATTTCAGCCAATCAGCGTCGTCAAAGATGACGGTCACCGGGCGCCAATGTCAGCGCCCAGTGCAGTCTGTGAGTAGTTTGGACAGTGACTCGTATCCGGTTGACGCAAGTAGTTGATGAGGATGGCTTCGTGTGCAGGTGGAGTCTCCGGACCTCGGTCCCCGCCTAATTCTGTTCAAGAGCTAATCTCCAATCCTTTCGAAAGGAGAAGTTTGGCAGATAAATTGTTGCTTAAAGACCTTGCCACCGGACCAACCCGATTTGAATATATCGCAGCAATCTCGTGAAAAAGACAACATTTATACACGAGGCTTCACAAGTAGCTGGTACACAAGAAAGGCTTGGCTAGCTGGATGCAAACAGGTAAATGCTGTCTTTTGTTTCCCATGCTTGGATATCACTTTATATGTAGAGAGGAGGTTTCCCATGGTTGTTAGAAGTTTATTAATAAGTGGGCATTTATCACAGAAGTGATTGTTCTGTCTCCACGTTTGTTGCATTGTCTGTGATGTATTTTCCAACGGTTATAGCTCCTGTTCTGTCCCAGCAACACTACACGGTTTGCAGCTCCACCACATTTTTGGTTTATCTTCGGTGTCGCTTAAAATCTGCTTCCCATCGGACTAAAACCTCCACGTAATCTGAAGACAGATACTTGAAGTTATTTAAAACCTTTTGCAAACTTTATGTTCTTTCTTGCTCTAGCCTTGCCAGTTACATTGTACATAACACATATATTATCATTATGCTAACTGGTTGTTCGTGTTAGACGATGTAGCTTTTTCATTTCTGAGTTATTGCTATATGTAAATAAGCCTGTTTGTAAATAATCCTCAGAGAAACAAAGAAAAAACACAATTTATGACATTTTGTGCTGTGGTTATTTTTTTTTAAATTGCATTTATTCACAGTTCAGTTTGAAATGCTGTAGTGACTTGTATTGAACCACTTAAATATTTATAATTAATGCTACTGAAAAGATGCTATTAATTTTATATCTCACATGCAGTTCACTGTAAAGCTACTTGGTGAAGGTGTTGGTTCATAAAACATGAACAGTTTTAAGAAAGAAAAAAACAGACCAGTTCTGAGAACACAAATTCCTGGTAAAGTAGTAGATGTTCAGGTTGATAAATAATATTTTCCACACTGAAGATTATGGAGGTATTGATCAGTCTTCTCATATTTTTAAGCCTCGATTTCTCCTTTCCCCCCCCCCCTCTAACATCACCAGAAGTCATCATTTAAGGGGTCATTTCTCTAAAAAAGTTTCCGGGGGGAAAACCCCCCGGACCCCCCGGGTAGGTCACTTACGGTACGTCAAGAGCCCCACCAAAAAAAAAGGCCACCGGCCGCCACTGGGGCTAACCCATACAGTGGTGGGGCTCAAGTCAGTATTTGCAATGTAATTACATACACGCTCCCCCCGACAGTGAAACGCCACGCGTGAGGTTTAGATTATTTCCCTGTCTCAATCCAAATTGAACTGTATGAAATAAAAAGGAACATTTGTCTTGTAGTAAATAAAAAGGGCGACCTGGAGCCAATCCTGCAATTTCCCCACAGGTGAAAGAGTTGACATGCTGAAAACCCAACCCCTGCAGGGAGGTCTGGGGGGATTCTCCCCCAGGAGATTTTTTAAAATACTAACATAAAATACACATTCTGGTACTCTCTTGAGAAGAAAAATAAATAAATCTATTACTACACGACATATTTAAAAAAAATTAATGCCATTTTTGTTTTTTGTTACTTTGTTCTGAAAGCTGAACCTGCTGCTCCTCACAGAGAGAAGAGGGAAGAGGCTGTGTGAATTACTTTACATTGTGGATAAGGGTGGATAGCCCCCATTGTTCTGTGTGTCAAAATGAAAGACAGCCCACACACCTATCAATCATCAAACCGTGGGGTCTTATTTCATTACGTGTTGATTTCTATCAACACGTAATGTTGTATTGATGTATAGAGATGTACTACCGCAAAAGTATTCTCCGTCGGGACTTCCTGCAACAACACACACGCCGTTATCGTGATTCTGATTGGCCAGAAGACATTATCAAAGATGTTCTATTGAGAAGACGATCACTACGTGACAAAAGTTTTCAAAACCGTTTCTAGTCTTCGGTATTATTGTTTTTGGCGTGAGAATAGTTTGGGCAGCGTGAGAGCGTGAGATTGAGAGTGAAAGCGTGTGTCACACGCCAGATGCGTGAGAGTTGGCAACCCTGCACCCTCTTTATCACTTTTTGTTTCTCCAACTAACCAAGTGCGCAGTTATTTTTGTATCTCCGTGGTGGCTGTCTTCGACGAAATGTACCAATTCGCTATAGTTTTCACGTTGTGCTACATGTATATGTATATCGGAAAAACATTAGGTAAGAGACTGAGCATTGTGATTATGTATTTTTGTATAGTTTAATTAGTTATTCGATACTTTTTGTTCGCGTAAGCTTGTTTCTGTTACGCCCTTCCTGTTGCTATTTTATGAGGTTTAAAGAAAGCTTAACGTTTGTTATGGTACATGTATAAATCGTATATCATTTTAAAGCATGATGTATCCCAACTATTTACTTTAAACAGGGAAGCCGGATGAGCCTGCTCCCAAAATGTCCTCACTTATCAGTAAGTTTATTCTGTAGTTATTCTACATGATAATGTATTTTTCTACAATGTATGAGCCCTGTAGGATGTTTATAGAGAGCTCAAAGTGTATTGTGATACATTTTATATCTATCGTCACTCAGAGTGCCTCCATAGGAACATTTCCTGTAACTCAACAATGGCGGGATACACTTTCCCATTCTCGTGTCCTGCGGAAGGAGAAGTTCACGTATATCAAAATAAGGTATTTTTATTTACTTTTACACACTCTGGTAGTCAAATGTTTTCTTTATAACATGTTTGCTTATCCTTAACTAGGCCTATGTAAAAAAGAAATATACATTCAAGGTGACGGGACAAAGAGGAAGTGCGAGTTCGACACTGATGTTGATGTTTTTTGTTTAACTTGAGGTCATTTAAGGTGAACTTTTTATTATTTCTCAACAGTCTAAAATTGCTGTTTCTCTTGATGGGCCTCGACCTTTTGATTATTCGGATGAAGTGAAGAACATGACGTCTGATTCAGTCACTACAAGACACTGCAGAGACCTCTACATACAATGCTTTTTTACCGGAGTGAGTCTCCCTCTATCTGTCATTTATTAAATCAATAAAAGTAATATATTGATATATAATGATGTAAATAGAGAAAATGTAAAAATACCCTCATAATATAGACTTTTATTTTACTTTTCAGGAGAATAAGTACCTTACCGAAATCTGTGTGGATTATAAAGTTACCGGTAAGTCAATAAAATGTTTGATTTATAAACAAACACACAAATATATATATATATCACATATACATTGCACAAATGTGTACCTTTTTACCTTCAAACAGAGGAGCCAGAGAAGCAGGATGAGCCTGATCCTACATTTCCCCCAAAGAAACGTATTGGTAAGTGGACGTTTTTCTGATGGAATTCATCTGTTGTAAAATAACTCAAGTTAATATTTGATCATAACATGTTATTTTTTGGTTTGTTGTACAGTTGGACTTTGTGTTGTTGTGGGGCTAATTGTGATCATTGTGGTGCTGCTCTGTTGGAACAAGTGAGTTATATTCTATTTGCACTAACAATTTACGGTTAGTTTTAATACACATTTACTAACACAGTATCCTGCATGAACTGAGAAACATTTGTTTGTGGTTTGTTTCTTGTATCAGGAAGCAATACTGTGCACGTAAAGTGTCGCAGTTTTCAACGTACCTATGCTCTTGTCTCAGAATAACAAAGAGGGAAGGAGCACAGGTAACTAGGTATGTATTTCTTCCAAATACATTACAGCTGGCACCGCTGCACTTAAATACACTTCTGGCATTACGTTTCAAATGGTTAAACACAAACAAAAAGTTGGTCAAAGTCAAATGTTGCCAGAGAGAAAGGGTGAATTAAAGTATAAAATATACAGTATATATAAATAATAATAATCGTCTTGCTCCATTCAACACATTAGGTCTACTTCTTTGTGCTTATTTAGTGCTGCTGAATGTAATTCTATGTTTGAATGTCTCTTTAAGACACCCTGCAGGAAGTGGATTCCAGGAGAACATAGCTGGTGATTTGGAAGGACAACAACTCAACGGTGATATAAGGTAAGCTTACATTAGAATACTTTTACCAGAGATAAGTGAAGTTGAATAGATTTCCATCTTTTCTTTGTTATTACAGGCTGTGTGAAATAGCTGCCACCGATCTAGATGGAAGCGTTGAAAATGATATAGAGTACGATAAAACACTTGAAAGTGTGCATGTTCCCAGCTTAGTTGTCATGTTATCAATATAACATCTTCATCCACAGATCTCTGTTTAGCCTTTGTCAAAACCGTTAAAGTGTTTTTTTAAATAGCAATTGGAAGTCTAGACTATCATTTGCTAAAAGCTACCATTGTCTCCATAGTATTGATCGTGAAGCTGATGGCAGGTCTGCTCCAGTCTCTAGTCTGGACCACAATTTGAGCTGCGAGGGTGTCCAGCCCACTAAAAAGTGAGAATGAGGGTTGTTAACTTTTTCTTGCGCCTGTTGCTTACTTTCCTTTTATGGCTTGAGCAGGTTTTGAATAACATTCCTCAGGTGAGATTCAATGCCATTTTATTTGAATTGTGTTTTGCAGTGGGAACATACATGCACCTGTCGTAATTAAAGACCCCAATCATCGAGCTATGAACGGGTAAGCTTTTGGTGTTGGATGGATTGTCAGTGTGTTTATTATTATTTTTTTCTTTTTAAAGTTCAGTCAGCACTGTTATTTAACAACTGTTGTGTTTGTTTGCTTCAGAAGTGTGAGGGATGATCCAGGAGGAATTAATGACAACAATGGAGAACACTTCGTGAGGTAAGTCTGTATTCTAACAATTTAGATATTCGTAGATATACTGTAATTATATCTTGAAAATGTTTTATGTTTACCTTGTTATACTTTATGCCAAGAAGGGGCTAATCACTTCTTATTAGCTTAGAAGGAAATACAGAATTTGTTAATTGCATTAAATATAATCATTTACAGCAAGTAAAGTACTGTGATGTTAGGTGATGTATTGAATGTTCGCAAAATTATTAAACAAAAATCAAATAAAGTGAACAAATATCCAGTGATACAATATGATAAAAACAAGAAGATTAATAAAAACATACAGTAATATAGAGCTTGTTAAACAGCATGCATATAAGGACTTATTTATCACATATAATAGCTGACAGGCAAAACTGTGATGACTATATATTAATAATAAACTTTAATCGTGTAAACAGTGCAAAGAAATGCAATGCAGCAGTGAAAATAACAAATGAGGGGAAGTACTCACCCTCAGGTTTTTCTATCCCCATCTGTGAATACTTCTCTAGGAACGAGGAAACGCACAATGGATGTGCTCCTGGTTGTGGGGGTCCTGAAGCTTGTGAGAATGAAGGACACCGCCTGCTGCCTCCTGAGAGGTGAGACTTCTTCCTGCTCTCAGACACTCTGCACTCAGAACTGAGCCCAAAGACAAATCTCTGTCGCTCTGCAATTTCCAGTCTGCTTTTCAACAGCAGAACTTGTGTGTTGTCTGCTTGGAAAGTGAGCATTACCAAGTTATACTATTTCTGTCCAGAGGCTTATATCGCCATTCCTTGTTTCTGTCTCCAGCGCTGACAGGCAAGCCCTCCAACCTCCTGACATGACGGATGAAGCCAGAGCTTTGGTGAACAAGGCCGGCTTTGAGTCAAACCAGCCCAGAATGTGCTCTACTGCACCGGTAAGTAAAAGCTTTCTACTGTATATATTTTCTGTTTAAATGCTTGTATTATTTTGTTTTCGTTTAACATGGTCATTGTTTGTTTTCTTTGCTTCAGGAAAATGGCGTGAAGTCAACCACCAACATGGGGAACTATCAATATTGATAACTATTATTATAGATAAAATAATAACATATATATATATATATATATATATATATATACACTATAACTATATGTCTCACAAGGTATGTGGTACATTTACTGGCAGCTTCTTTGTAATCAAGCCCAGCACTTTCATTTAAATCAAAACTTTCATCATCATCTAAAAGCCCTCTCTACCAAATTGTATACAATTGCATCCTATTCAAATCATTCTGTTGACATATGTGATCAGTCACAGATGGATACATCTTAATTTGGCTTATTACATTTAAACTAATATTAGTTATTACAGCAACAAACACAAAGACACGCGTGTGCTTTGTTATTGAGATACATAGTGCATGGCTTGACCAAAGTATGGGTGAACCAAATATCAGAAAATGTACCACATTCTCAGCTGCGAGACTAAAAAATATAATAATACTTATACTATGTTTATAATCTACGGATGAAATACATTTGTATAAGCTATAGATATATCATATTATACAATGACTTGTTAAAATATTTCATTTTAATGAGACATGAATGGAAAACATATACATATAATGTATGATGTCCTTTATTGTTTTATGTTTCATGTGGAACCTACTGTATATGCTGCAGGTCTCCCTTGAAAAAGAGATCTATGATCTCAATGGGACCAATCTGGTTAAATAAAGGTTTGAAATGAAATGAAAAAACATTATAAAGAATGTTTCCTCTTTTTTATTGGAGTTGTAATATCGTATGTATCCATTCTGTTATAAGTAAGTCTGCTATTAATTCTTGTTTATCATATAACATTTATTCAAGTGCCTTCACTATTTTGTCATTTTAAAGCATTTTACTCCGCATATGCAAATTCAGATTATATTGAGATTGTTCTTTTCTTGCTTACGTGCTTTTATTATTAATCAATTTATATATAAATGAGAAAGAATACAATTGTAAGTGCATTACAAATTATGAATTTTTGTCTTTTAAATAAAATGCTATATCCACCCTGGATTTCACTGCCTGGTCTTTTTGTTAGAACTTGCTTTCTAAACTATTGGAAGTATCCTTTTTTTACCACAAGGGGGCAGTAAATGGTCATCGGTTTCTACCACCGAGGTATACAGGAAACATAATTACACCTCTTATTACTTTAGTTAAGCGATTAACTTGTATTTACGTATACATGGCAATAGCTTCAAAATTCATGATTGTATCTTCACCCACAAAATATACATTCATATGCTGTATTTCTGTGATGAACCATTATGAGTGGGGATAAAAGGCTTTTGTTTTTTTTAAATAAACCAAGTCCGCCCTTATAGAGCAGCTGATTGACTATTGTGTGACTCCCTTTTGCAATTAGTGGCTATGTTTCAGTTGATCTCTATTTTCCAGTATACCATTTCCATCTATTAATCAACCAATGAATAAACAGTAAATAAATTACACAGTACTTGTTCATTTAAATGTATCTTACAGTATTTAAAAGATGTGTTGCCTGCAAGGCTTGATGTATGGTAGTAATCACGGTTACACACGGGGGTTCAGGCTGAATATAATCCATCTCTTTTCTCTATCTCTTAGGATCTGCTGATAGTTGCTGTTAGTCAATGTCTGATTCTATTTTAAGCTTCCCTAAATGTTCAATGACCTTGAAAGAGACCCCTTTTTACCTCTCAGATGGGCTGAGTACGAAGAAGAAATTGTGTCAGGGGTTAGAGGCTTTGTTATTCATTTTTGGTGTGTTAGTGTGTTAAAGTGTTACTCTACTACCAGTGAAAACAGGGTGATTGAATGGTCATGGCTTCAGAGCCTCCCCTCTCAGGGAGTTTCACTGAGGGGACATGAGCGAGGTCGATGAGTAGGGGGCGGCTCAATACATGCCATCATACATGTACACTGTACAGTGTGACACGGGGGAAAAGGACATGGGAGAGGCTGTAATTATGGCTGAATGCTCTGATGCACATAATAATTAGAAATCAGCTAATTAGTTACCAATCACACTCCTCATTGAACGGTATTATGAGCAGTCAAGGAAACAAAAGTGGGTGGAACACTGATCAGCCCACATCAGGGATAAGAAGGCTTAAGGGAAGCTAGATGTGCTGCAACAACCCAGGCCTGACGCTTAGTTGTGTTATCCCTAACTGATCTCTAGTTGATCACAATCTTTACGCTTACTCTGGAGCGTACTAAAGGTCGCAAACAGTTGTGTGCCGCTGCAGCTTTACAGACAGCATCAAACAGTGCTTCAATCGGAAGCCAGTAAGCTGCACTCACGTGGCAGTTATTAAAAGATTACATCAGGGATCACACTACACTGTATGATTAATTAACCTTGACTGATGCTTGGTAAAGGAGAATCCAGCTGAGCAAGTATGCCAACAGGTCTGCATGTACATACAACATATGAGATGGTTGAAAGCACCATTGTAGCGGGTCTCGTCATACTGACTCAGGGTTACTCGAGTGAAACGCGCGTAAAGCTCTTTAGCCCCTGTCAAAACACCAAGATTTTTGGGTTTTCCCTCCTAAAGTGACAACTTGCGTTTTACTGAATCTCTTTGATCACTTTGTGTGGTATGCTTTGGACAGTCTTTGACTCATCTGCATATGCATACTACAGTACAGTGTGTGGTTCAAAGGGGCGGTGACTCAGGAAGGGGCTTGGTTGCTTGGCTTCTGTCCCCTGCTTCCCATGGTATACAGAGGAGCAGCACAATGCTCTTGTAACCTGCAGGGCACCCCATGAATAAAACATAACCACTGTATTACTGCTTAAAGATGTCTTTTCATTTCCAGTTTGAATCCCAGCGTAGGTATATTGGAGTTAATATGCATATGGCACAGCGAAAGATTGATTTTTTAATAATCTCTGTGCGCAGTTATGCTTTTATTGCACCGACACATGCATAAGCACATAAGCAATTATGCTGCACACGCATACAACCACAAAACAATTGAGCCTCTTTAAGATGTTGCCAGAGAAAGCCTGAAGCATGAACAGTGTATATTTTCAATAGTTTTTTATTAATATGTGCTGATACAAGGTCGCTCTGACCTGCGATGATGCAAACACACACAGAAAATCATCCCCTTTGGCCGGACAGCTGTCAAAGCAGTGGTCTTGAGAAAATAAACAAGAAGAACATTATCCTTCAAACAAAATAGAAACAGTATCAAGGTGTTATATATCCTCAGTTTACAAATGTTTCAGTGGTACATGACAAATTATTTATTTTATAGAAAAATCACAGAAAGCTCTGGAAATGGTGCTATATGTAGAGCCCAACATGGCACAATGACAGTTCTTTCAATGCCTACAGCCTGTTATGTAAAACCATTAGCACTCAATAACTTATTCCCAGAAACAAAAGCATTTCAGGGATGTCCAATACTGACCAGGTTCCATTGTACTGAGTTAATAATACAGCCATTAGCTGATACTCAGAATATCCCATTCACGCCTGCTATAGCCAGCTATTCTTCCTCTGATGATGGAGACAGATCATCTTGGGCAACATTTACTGACTCGTCCCGTAGACGATCATGGGATGGATATCACTACAGCCGTGGACAGCCACATGCAGGCACAGTTCAGCCCCTCCCTACTTTCAGAGACTCATTGGAGGAAGAGGAAGACATAGAAAAAAACATGCCTACAGATCAAGCTGCTCCTGCTGTATGTGTATAAATGTTAACAAGTAAACAGCTGATACAAGTCTTCACTTCAGTGTATAAAACTACCTAACCTGATTGAAGATGGTTATTATATGTGTGTCAAAAGATATGTTTGTTTGGACCTGGGGGTTTCTATGTAGAATGTGCCTCACAGGTTTAACATTTGGAGAAGCTCATCCCACACAAAGCCCCTCTGATGTTGGTCCCACCCTGTGCATCAAAGATGGCCCGAATTGCTGGCACAGCTCCACGAACACATATTCGACACCAAAGAGAAACAGCACAATCCTCATCACTGGGTTTATGCCATACCCCTACATACTGTTCAAACTACTCTATAAGTACTGTATTCAGTAGTCATGTGGACACACAACAAGAGACCAATAACAAAATAGTACTACTTTATCAGTGTTAACATTTGCTTTTAAAAAATCTGTATAGGAAAATCATCTTGCGTTTGTTAGCACTCTAAAAATCCGGCAGTGGATTCATTTTTTTCACATTTATTTATGGAAGCATCCATTAGACCAAAAAACAATCACGTCATCTATCTTCCTCTACAGGCAGAATCGTTTTATTCAATGAACAAACTCAAAATATGACATGCCAGCTTGATCAAATAAAACAAATAAAGTGATAAGCTCTGGACTTCAAACCACAAACAGAAAAGGCTCTCACAAAGCAGCACATCCTTCTCCTCATCTCCAGATCCAGCCCTGCACAGTCTCACTGCCTCCCCCACCATCCCCCCTTCCCCCTCTCTCTCGCAATGACTGCTTATGGCTATGAATTTGTGACATCAGGGACATGTATGCCGAAGTTGTCCCCACTATGCCCCCTCTTGGGTCAGTTTATAAAGACATACAATAATGACCCCCTGCTCCTCTGCTGCTGTTGAACTCACACACCAGTACTCCCCTTCCCATCCTCCCCTCCCCCTTTCCCTTCCACCCTCCTGGTGTGATATTGGCCTCACAAATCACCGGTTAAAAAAAAAAAAAGAAGAAAGGTCTGTGTGTTAAAGTGTGGACTGTGAGTAAACTGACTGTAGGCCTGCTGGGACCTCCGCTGTTTAATGATAGACCGAGCAATAGTTCACTCTCCACTGACACAAAGCGGACAAAGGGTGCGCCACTACTGGGTCAAAGGTCGGGCATCCCACCTTTTAAACAACTGGAGCACATGCATGTTAGGTTGCAACTGGCACAGAAGATAAATGTTGTGAAACACACGGAGATGGAAAAAGAAAGTAGAAAAGAAGAGAGCGAAGCCAGTCCGCTGCAGCGAATTAGAAGCCACCGTGTTATTATTGTAATCACAGGTTGAGAGGACTTTGAATGGCGGAGAAACTCCTGTTGTGTGAGCCTCCGTCCCACAGCATGGGCTGCGGACCTTCTACTGTATAATCACCATCATTTACCACAGTACTGCACTCTGTTTATTGAGATATTAATCTGGGATAAACAAAGCTTTTGACAAAACAAATTAACACTCTCAAAGAAGTGCTGCACTAAAGGAGTCCATTGAGATTGATATTAAAATGTGGATGAGATGGGAGAGATAGGGAGGAAAAGAAAAGGAGGTAGGAGGTGCTGGAAAGGAGAGAAGCAGGCCCAAGGTGACGCACATTCCCCCCCTCATGGGGAAGGCCTGTCTGAACACTGCTTTTCCCCTGGCAAAGATCAGCATCAGCACATTATATCAAATTCAATGAGGGAGGCATGGAGCTAATGATGATGGTGATGAGAATGATGGAGATTAAGATGATGATGGCCGACTTGTGTTTCCTATTAACAGTTCCGCCCTGGAGTGAATTGTTTTATCTTCAGTCGTGTTTGTTAAAGTACATTCAGTTGTCCTCAGTTGACCAATGGGTGCTGCCTGAGTACGGTGCCCAATCATCAAGCCATTAGATCTGTGCTTCACATTGTCCAGCAGCGCCGCAAAACATGAGCATGTTGTCTTTCATTTGTAAACACAGGCAGCTCCCAGGTTCACATCTAAGTCATGTACCATCAGCAGTATTGCACATGTTCCCTCTATGGCTCAAGTGATGATTCCGGGGGGCCTTCGTTCTGAGCCTCATCGCGCTCTGCAGCCTTTACAATGATACTTACAAAAGTGATTTGAATAACAAGAATAAATGGTGGTAAATCCTTGTAATCCCTCTCCCTTATCAGTCTTTAACCCTCTCTCTCTTTCAGCCCCAGGAGACACCGCTAAAAGCTGTCCTTTGGGTTCTCTCTTTAGAAGTGGGACAGTCGGGCCCAGCCAAATGTCACACTGCAGTGGATGCATCTGTTTTCTGCTCACGTTCTGTCCTCACA